CGCGCCACGTAACACACCTATTATGTATTGTCCTGATTTTTTCAAATATCTTTCCCTGTAAACGTTTTTTCTGGTAGTTGCCTGATGATTGCCTCGGACGAAGCATGTAACTCTGAGTAGCAAGTAAATGTCTATAGCTTTGTGAAGACCTACATCCTCCTAAATGTCAACTAGTCCAGCTGTTTACTTCTATTGTTATGTTTGTATATCTGTCTGTATTCGCCAAAACATAGCCACAGAATTTGTCTCGTCATTGATAATCTTGATACAATTCTGTTCTAGAACTAGCTTTCCACAAGGCCTATCGTGGTTCAAATAATATATAGATTTAGCAAAACCTAAGCCGGGTTGCGTGACGTCATCGTCGTCGTCTTCGTCGAGCGTACGCGCCCACGAGCAGTACCGCTAGCCATTTTTACCGTGAGAAAAAAGATTCATGGTTTGCTAAGAGTGTGGGGCTTCGCTTGGCGATTCTTCGGGCTGCTGGGGCTCCGCTAAAATAAAATTACTCTCCTGTATGCCTTTTCAGGCCAGGAAGAATATATTCACCGTCTTTTAATTGAATCCTGAATTGTACAATTTAATTAAGAGAGCTTTCAACATGAAATTAAACTTTAAATCAACGCAAACGTACACACATTAAAACCGCGGCGGAGAGCTGATCTGTAGCTTTCTAAAGACCTGCATAGTCCTAAATTGACTGAACAAGAGCTTCCTACATCGAGAATTGATTGGACTTCAACCAAACTAGGCCATAATTGTGAGTCAGTGAACACTCCGCATGTTGTCAGTACTTCAATTATCGACCGAAAACCAAGCAAATAAATCTTTACCGCGCTAGCGAATCACAGACCGTTTTGATAGTTACCTAGGCCGAAACCGCCTACAATTAGTAAAACAAGGAACTGCTGCTCACAATCAGTTTTTGACGAGATTTCCTTCACTCTGTTCGTGGCCATGTTTTGCTCGCAAATAGCAATGTCCCGGATGTGCTTGAATTTTATCGAGCGGGAAAGTGCGATATCAACTCTACAATAGAGTTTTAGTCTGTAGCCGCATCAAAGTTCAGGCCAAACAACGCAAGTAGCAGCTAGAACCGTCTGGCCCATTACACTTCTAAAGCTCTTTGCTTTCTAAAGCAAGCACAACATTGTCGCTACAGTGCAAACGGTCTACTCATTACGGGGCTAAATGTCGACCCGTTTATACATCTCAGGGCCGTTCCATGTACGATGATGGACGACGTTTCCTAGCAAATCGTTAGATTGCACCTTCATTGGACTTAATAATATCCTCAGACAGACTTCCTTTAGACAGCGAGTCACCGCGCAAACTAAAACTCAGACCAGTGTAGCCTGGGCTAAACTTAACACCAGTTGAAAAGGGGAGGGGAGAGGGGTAGCAATAAAAAAAAA